TCGTATACACACATGCACGCACACACATTAATGTTTATTTATATAGATTAGTGTTTATTTTTATAGATTTAAAGCCCTCAATCATCACACATGAGAACTTTAATTCTGTGTAATCTAAATTCTGATAGTACTGAGTTCAAATGATTTATGTTTTTGAAATGATGTGGTTAGACGTGGTCAACAGTAACGGAGCAACCTCAAAAACTACTACCCATTTAGTTACAGTATTGAAATGTTTTCATAGTTTTTGATGATGTTCCTTTTGTTCCTGATAATGATTTTGTATTATGTCCATTTGAATCTTCTGAAATATTCTATTACAATTTACAAAGCTTCAGGTAAAGATTATTGGGTATAGCTGTTTCTAAACTTCATATTGTTCATAAATTGACCTCTTAAAAAGCAATTAAGACAAAATATTATACAAGCTATTGTACTTGAAGTAAAGGATAGTGGTTTTGTTTTTAGCTGCAGCACAGCAGCTCATAGAATGGCTCAAAGTTTTTTTTGTTTTTTTTCAAGTACAAAACTTAGCTCACAGCTCCGTTATCTCTTGACTGATTTGAGATCTAATTACAATTTTGGACATAGGAGGTCAAACCCTTTCGATTGATGTATTTGACCACTTCCCAAGATCTCGTGGGTTAATTTAATCTAATCCTGCTTAAAAGAATTTCAATTTGAGGGTAGGCTGGTGGAGATCCTGATGAATAATAAAATTGAATTGGGTATATGCTTGGTATTGCTGATGCACAAAAATATAGCTGATAAAAAAAGGAAAAAAAAAGGCCCCATAGATTAATTGACTCTGATCCTCCCTAAAAGAACTTCAAGTGCTGCCAATATTGAATATTCCTTCTTGTTTACAGTACATTTTATTTGTTTATACCTTTCATTAATGCTTTGTACAGTATTTACTAGCAAATTCTTCTAAATTAGTTAGGTTCTAATCCTTTATAAAAAGTTTTATGTTGTGAAGTTATTTTTTTGGTAAATATGTAAGCTTAGTTTTCATAGTTACCAAGTAATAGTAATGTTTTAGGATATTGTGTAGGTCACTGTAGATACCTATGAATCTGTCAGGAGTACACTTTTAACATATTACAAATCGGTCTTTGCAAGTCTCGCAAATGAACCCAAATTCTTAAACTGAAGCATATTTTGTGTATTTTAGGGAGACTATTCCAGCGCTAACTCACAGTTACAACTATGTCTCCGAGCCCTGGGTCGACCCCTACCGACGTGCACTTTGGTCCTGGTGACTAGCATCACTTGGCAGATTATACGGCAGTTCTTGCACAGACTGTGGATAGGTCAGCTCATGAACAAGAAAGCAGGAGGGCTGAAAACTCTGCAAAATGTACGTGAGGAATGTTTTCAAAATACGGCCCACGTTTACCATCGTCTGAATCAGTTACACTTGTTAGGTACGTTTTGTATTGATTTTACTTGATTATTTGCTGCGTGCGGTACGTCGTACAATTAGCTATGCATTAAAAACAGATTTATTATTATTTATTTAACTCCAATTGACCAACCCCATATTTAATCTATATATTATAATGTCTAATATAATTCTGAACTTACTTCATTATCTTCACAAAAGTTGGTACATTTTTTTGGATAAGCATTAAAAAAATGTTGTATACAGAAAATCAGATTTTTGGATAAGATATTCTTACTAAAGATTTGTGTATGAATTTATGGAACCTTTACCAAGTCAGTCTCGGTAAAAGTAAGCTAAGAACAAAAATTCTTCTTTCCATCTTACGGTTTTCGTATTTTATTTACATAACCTCTAGAACATTGTAAGTTAGCATCAAAAATTGTTCTTGATAAAACTTAATTATTATTATTTTTTATTTTTTTGCCCTTACACTAACTGTTACAAAATCATCAAAGATGAAATATGTGAAACTAAATTAAATTAATACCATTTTCCTTCTGCACTGACTACAGAATAAATCAGAAATTCTGAATTACTTATCTAACAGCTTCTGGCATTAACCGTTTAATATCTGTTTCCTTTTAATTTTATGGTTTTGTTGCCATACCTTGTACAAAATAGAGAAATAATCTGATGAAATTTGGTTGAACGGATGGAAATTGTCTGTTGTAGATACGCACGTATGAAAGAAGAATTTTTAAATGCCATCCTCTACACTTGGGTTTCTATAACCATCCGTTCAGTCACATTTTATCATGAATACTCTACCTAAACAATCTATCAAATAGAAATAATCTCTGTCAAAAGAAATAAATGACAGTAGGAGGCCACATCGAGCTAATGGAAACAGCAGGGGTCATGTTACAGATACGTTTGCTTGAGATTGTGAAATTTGAACATTTTATTTCGCTAAAGTTTTGTTAGGCTAAGCTGAGAAGTTATAGTATATCTGGTACTTGCTGCATAGTTAAAGTTTATTGAATAAGTTCTTCGGTAAGCCTTGTTGAGTCTGGCAAAGTTAGGTGTCCACAAAAGAAATACTATAGCTTTCCAATATATATCTTGGAATATAACAAATATATTACTCAATAGAACATCCCCAAACTATTTTATATGGCTTTTTAAGTAAGCTATAAACATGTTAAACAAACAACAATATTGAGTTACACATTGATTAGCTAAGAATTTCTAAAGTCTAAGAGAGAGTGGGTGGGTTTGACGTCTCGCTTAAATCTGCTTGTTTTCTTGAACTGGTATGTATACAATTGCAAGAAGGTATTACATTTTTCTTTATCAGTTCAAAGATATTCCCCATTGGGTACTTTGATTTTCTGTAGCCCTGCCACACCTTCATTGGATATTGTTTTCACAATTTTTTGCCACTTTTCCAAAATTGGTTTGTTTTACTAGGGTTTGCTAAATCGCATTGTTAACAGAAGTTTTTCCATATAACAATTATACACTTCAGGTGTTATAGTATACTTTAAATACACGTATGACAATTATACACTTCAGGCATTATAGTATACTTTAAATACACGTATAACAATTATACACTTCAGGCATTATAGTATACTTTAAATACACGTATAACAATTATACACTTCAGGCATTATAGTATACTTTAAATACACTTATAACAATTATACACTTCAGGTGTTATAGTATACTTTAAATACACGTATGACAATCACACACTTCAGGCATTATAGTATACTTTAAATACACGTATGACAATCACACACTTCAGGCATTATAGTATACTTTAAATACACGTATGACAATTATACCCTTCAGTATAATCACTTGTAACGAGTTAGGTAAATATATCCTGAGCCCAGGTATTTTAATTTTTAACTAATTTATTTCCTTGGTGAAACCAAGGATTTGGCAAAATTGGAGAGCCCCAAGTTAATCTTTAATTAAATTTTATTTGCAGGGGTTGAAGTATTGTTATAGTGGAGCTTGACATGCAAATTTAATTATTAAAGACATGACAAAATTGAGAAAATATGGAACACTTGTAAAATGTTTAAACACTATTGTTAACACATTGTGTTTAATTGCTACATATTATAACACAGTTAATGCTTTAATTCTGTAAATACCACAGAAAAAAGGATGTTATTTTATTCTCTTTTTAGAAGACATTTCATCAATATCAAATTTACCCAGAATAATACAAGACATTAAATATTCTATTATTTGTCTTAATCTGGTTTTTCACAACCTGTAAAAATATCAAATCTACCTTTTTTTTTTTATATAGAAAATAGTTTGTGTCCTTGTATTTGTTCCAAGATTTATCACATTTCTGGTTTTTTCTTCAAATTTCTTGTGTAGTGGTTTTTTTCCTTAAGATTTTTCTCATGTTTCTTGTTAGGTTATAATGGAGAGAGTCATTTAGAAGGCATCAACCTTGCATTATGTGCCGTCAACCTTGCCGAGATGGCCGGAGATTCTCTTTCTAGAGAAACACGTGCAGATATTCACATTTCTGCTGCTCTTAGGATAAAGGAAAGCTTTCCGTACTGTTTACATTTTTTTACTGTAAGTAGGGCTGACTTTTCACAAGTTTATGAGAAAGATTTAAGGCTGAAATTTGTTTTATTAAATTCTGCTGACAAAAAGAACAGTAGCTAAAAATGTGAGCCTTCCAAATTAGATCTTTTGGCACTTTTGAAACCCAGTCATTTGTTGTTTTCCCATTATATCTGATGTATTTCTAGAATTACTTGGTTGTTCTCTCAATTTAAGTCCCTTTTGAGACCTTACAATTTAAACGTTTCGTAAATGTTGGACGAAGTTTGATGTTTTCAATTAATTAAGCCAATTTCTTAATGTAGGTATCTTGTAGTAGATAAAATGTAAAACAAATACTGATTTGTCTGTGTGTTTGTATATATACAATATTTTATTAATGGAAATGATAACATTTTTTTTCAGAAATATTTTCTCAGTCTAGCCAAGGAATTGTGTAACTCGGAAAATCAAGTGTCAGTTTTCCAATGGCTTTTTCTTCCCGATGGATACAGGTTTTTCGTAACCAACACTTGGTCTTATAAAGAAGATGACACAGTTTTCAGCTCCCTTGAAAATATTGGTATATAATGCGACTTTTATTTACTTATTTTATTTCTAAGTGCACGATATTAGCGAATTTTACCGCAAAACCTTTTGAAATAGTGAACAAGAAACGTGATGTTTCCATATACGTTTTTAGTCACAGCAAAATCATAGTTGGAAATTAAGACATCAGATCACTTAGCCACATTACTAGGGTGCCTTTAACTAATAAATTTTATGAAATGTTTTATGTAAAAATATACACTATTTACAGAGATTATATTAAGGTTCAGTTTGGTAAACTATTTCCAATGTCAAAATGAAAAATCAGGGGTTAAAAGTCCTGAAAAGGTAAAGGTCAGACAGTTATTATATAACATTACGTGCATAATTTGAATGAAATGGTTTAATATATCTGATGTTTTTAGGTTCTGAAATTTCCGGAAATTTCTGCCATTTCTCTTGTCAAATTTAGCCATACCCCCAACTTGTTCAAATCCAGTGGAGACAAAAATAATAGTAAATGTCGGCTCAACCTTGTGTTACCTTGTCTGCTTCAATGCTTGCATTTAACTAAGATCAATATATGAGGTTCTTTTAAACTGACTGACTTACAGACAGCCAACTAATTCCAAAATGTTTTTTTAAGCCAAAGGTATTTGTAAAGCATCGGAAATACACAAATTCCTTTAAGTGCAATGCTAGATGATGTAAAATTTCAGCATAGTGATAGACTTTAAATCTTTTACCATCCATTTTAATAGTGTGTTTTTAGCACATTTGCATAAAATTACATAAATATATATTACCTTTCATTGAATAATTTCTGTGAAATCGTTTAGATGAGAGGCCTAAATTAGATAAAGATGGACACGGTCTGATGAAAGTTGTGGGAAGTAGGTGTACGACAAAATTCTGAGAATTATATTTCAGTGACTAAGGAGTTTTTCTTGCAAATTAAAACACGTTACGATCATATTAAATGTTACATATTCTGAAGTTATTTTCAGTGACTAAGGAGTTTTTCTTCCAAATTAAAACACGTTACGAACATATTAAATGTTACATATTCTGAAGTTATTTTCAGTTGTTTTCAGTGACTAAGGAGTTTTTCTTGCAAATTAAAACACGTTACGAACATATTAAATGTTACATATTCTGAAGTTGTTTTCAGTGACTAAGGAGTTTTTCTTGTAAATTAAAACACGTTACGAACATATTAAATGTTATATATTCTGAGATTATTTTCAGTCTCGTATGTCTCGTATATTATACAAGGAAAGATGAAATTGTAGGATCAGAAAAGTTTGCGATTTCTAATGGAGAAAGATCAGGAAATAAACGATGAACAGAGGTTCATGCATGAACCTATGTAATATTCTGTATCTGCCATGTAAAAGGCTTGGTTTGCAAATAAATGATTAATAATTTACCCTAGCAGAAACTGATTTCTACAACTATTGCCTTAATATTTTCATGAAATGACTAGTTTATGTACGGATCTAATCATTGTAATTATAAATGTTTGTAGTAACTGTATAAATATTTTATGAAGTGACCAGTTTGACCATTGGAACATGAGTTAAAGTGGCGAAGTTGGCAAAAGTCCAGTGTTTACTGATTATCCTGATAGTAGATAATGTAAATCTTTAGCTCTCCAGATAAAACCTTTATTTACTGTATATTGGAATGGATAGATAAAAATCTCTTCTATTTAATCATTTTAATTTTTAGTCATTAGCTTTTTCTGTTTTCAAAGCTGATCATTATAAGTAATTAATAATTGCTGGAGACGGCTTGAATGGGTAATGAAGAAAAACTTTAATATAAGTTTAACATAACAGCAAATGTACAACGTTTCGACAAGGTTTTGTCATCATCAGGTACCTTGTCGAAATGTGGTACTTGCTGTTATGTTGAACTTATATTAAAGTTTTTCTTCATTATCCATTCAACCCATCTCCAACCATTATTAGTCTCAAAGTGGGTTCCTCATCATCGAAGTTATAAGTAATTGTTCAGATCACAGCTGCAACATCATAAAAGGATGACAATAAAAAACAATAGTAATAAAGCAGCCACTGACACAGAAAAGTGATTTGATGCGAATCATTATTTTTTTCTCCAAGGGATGATAGTTTCTTAGCAGGAGAAATTTAAAATAATAGTAAATAAATAAATAAATGTATTTTTACACAGAAATGAAAGTTGGGACATCAAAAAAAAAGCTTCTTTGTGAAGTTAATGAAATAAGTCTTGTATAATGTTAAAATATCAATTCTTAAGTATTTACAAGTAAAGAATTGTCGAAATTAAATTATATTTTATTACTTTGACCCTTGAAACTTTGATAGCTAAGCATGAACTCGACACCTGAAAAGTACACCAATCATGTTACGGTTAAATACTGACAATAACTGCCTGCATGGCCAGGTGGTTAGGGCGCTCGACTCGCAATCTGAGGGTCGCGGGTTCGAATCCCCGTCATACCAAACATTCTCGCCCTTTCAGCCGTGGGGGCGTTATAATGTGACGGTCAATCCTACTATTCGTTGGTAAAAGAGTAGCCCAAGAGTTGGCGGTGGGTGGTGATGACTAGCTGCCTTCCCTCTTGTCTTACACTGCTAAATTAGGGACGGTTAGCGCAGATAGCCCTAGTGTAGCTTTGCGCGAAATTCAAAACAAACCAACAATAACTGCCGTAAGTTCGATGAAAGAATGGGTCAGTCCCAATATTTAAGAAACGTGATCATTCTTGTTTTTGGAAAATGCTCTTTTCTCAACAGATGATGTTTTTATAGAATTAAGATGAGTAAAATGTTGCCTGCTCATGATCTTCACTTCAGACAGTGAGCTGGCTAGTTGTTGAGTGGAGGTTCTAATAATTTGTATAATCAAATTAATGTTTATTCAAATCTTTAGTGAGAAAAAGAAAATGAGATCAAGTTGCTGATATCAGTTTGCTTCCTTCCAACAGGTGATCCTCTATCCTATGTATCTCGAAAGTTCAGAGAGAATATACTGGAGAAAGCTGTTAGGTCACTGTTTACTTCATCGAGTTGTTTATCTGTGCATCGACAACAAAGGTGAGACAAGGAGTACGAAAATTTAAGAAAGGGAATTGTGAAAAATAATTTTATATAAACGTCCACAAAAACTATGTACTATAATTTTATAAACATTTAAACAGGTAGTTATCGTAAGGCAGCTTTGATGGCTGATTACAAAACACTACTACTAACATTAATTAATGGCCTATAATTGCCATTATCACCCCAAACACAATATTAAAAAAACATTAGGTTAAAAAGATTGTTAACTCTCACTATAGGTAGGTCAAAGTGTGTATGTCACGACCTTTTACAGAGTTACATTTAAAATGTAAACTACTTTATTATCAATGTACGTAAATATACTTGCCATCAAAACATAGTTAATAAATCAAATTTTAATATTATTTAGGTTTTAATTTTAAAAGGAAGTATTTAAATAAATCCTCAATCTCCCCTTGTATGAGAATTGATAAGTGGGTGTGGCAAAGTGTGTCTGACCTTCTAGTTTACGTCTTCATGAACAAAGAAGACTTTGTCTTAGTAATATCAATACTATAATGAGTAAATTATGTTAAACTCGGGACGTCAGTGAAGGGTGATGAAAAATAAATGATGGGCCAAGATGGTGCAAATAAATGTCACACAACCTCTTGTTTCACAAGTAGCCAATAATTCCATGACATTTTCTGTAATATCATTTATAATCAATAGAAAGACAAGGATTTAATTACTGAATAATATATAATGCTAAAGTGTTCTCAGTACAGTTCGTTATTTTGTATTCAGATTATAAGTTTCTATTGCCAAGTTCATATTGAGTAGCTTAAGAAATTATTTTAAGGCACTAAGGCCTTATTTAAAAAGCCAGTTAAATTATAATAGTTATAGAATATAGTTTGCTTTGTGCATGTTATTATTCTGTATTCTTATGTACATTCTTCATATAAATAAAGATTATTTATTATACTGGCATCATCATTACAAAAAAGTAATTTTAGATTTTATGGGTGAGCTCACAACAATAAAAGATGAAAGGCCAAACAGAAATGTCTTGTTTTTCATGTATTATCATAAAAGTATGTAAAAATTAAACATTTGTTAGGTTAGAAAAAGTAAGATAATGAAAAAATAATATTTCTCCAAAAGGTATACGTACGAGTAGCTTATATATTACACGATTCAGCACAGTAACTTGAGCTATGAGTTTGTCGAGTAATTTATAGCTCAAGTTACATGATTATTAGTTCAAGGGGCAATAATAAAATTAAGGAGAATAATATGTAGAGTGTTACAATTCTCAAGCTATTTAGGATAAACAGTTTTAGTTTTCTGTTACAACCTACAGTCGTTCTAGAAAGAAACAAAGGGTAATTTAGTTTTATTTAATATATTTTTGTGGTGGTTACTAGGTTGGCCATATCTACCGAGTCCATATAGAGTTAGGGTACAGAAATATAACAAAAACTATAAAGCTTAACTGGAAAAAAAGAAGTTTTATGTAGGTGATTTTAGAGGTTACACAAATGAAATGTGAAAATTTTCAGATGAAAGAAAATATTTTTAATCTTGACATTAAAATAATTTTTTACTGAGAACAATCACCACTCTGACTTAACCCTCTCACTACGGGTTTGGTCAATTTGGCCCGAGTCACCTGACCTTTTGTACTTGTATAAAGTCTTTATAAGTTTAATACTTAACTCTCAATATATTGGGTATATCTTAACGAACTTTGGCAATCTTTCAGTTAATATTACAAGTCTTTCACATATAAAAAGTCATATTTCTTAGTGAAGTATTTTTAATAAAAGAAAATAAAGATTTATCCATGAAGATATTGAGTATTTGTTTTGAATAGTCTGTGTGCAAAGTCATTTTCATGTTAGAATTAAAAGTATTTTTCTTCATCTCAAAAATCACAAATTTCCTTTATGTAATCCCTAAAACCTCCTAAATGCATTTCAAACATTTTTTTTTTTTAGTAAAACTTTATAGTTTATCTGT